CAATACTTTATGGTGCATAATGTTGGTCATTAAAAGAGAAGCATAATATTAAGCTAAGTGTAGTAGAGATGAGGATGCTTAGGTGGATGAGTGGCTATACTCTTAAAGACAGGATACAAAATGAGCATATACGTGAAAATGTTGAAATAGCTCCAGTGAAAGATAAGATTAGAGATAGTCGCCTTAGATGGTTTGGTCACATAAAACGGTGGCCTTCCGATGACCCGATTATGAAAGTAGATGTATTAGATTTGACTTATGTTAAGAAAGGTAGAGGTAGACCTAAAAAAGACTAGTTAAAAAATATTAAAAATGACATTTCTTTATTAGATTTAGATGAGAATTTGACTCTTAACAGTGTACAATGGAGAAAACGAATTCATGTAGCTGACCCACATAGTGGGATAGAGGCTTGTTGTTGTTATTTTTTGTTGTTGATGATCTTGAAGAAGTTTAAAAGACTCCTTCAAGGTTTTAGACTCAAGTTAACTTTGTTATAATTTGCAAGCTTCAAAAAATCGTATAAGGTCTCACAAAATCACCATATGCCTGGTTTTCTTGATCATCAAGAATAGTCAAGGTACATAGATTGTCTTCTACCAAACTGATCATGCAATCTTCATAAAACATATGTCAATTTATAATATTACCAACTGATTGTTTATATTAGTGATATTATTCTTACCGAAAATAATAAAGCTACCATCAAAATTGCAAAGAACTTAGTCCTCGATAAGACCAAGTATACAAATATTGATCACTATTTCATCAGAAAAAAATACGAATCATATACCATCTAACTTGTTTACACTTACTCAAATCTTCAACAATTGATATTCCCACTAAGGTCATTTAAGTCTAAATTCAAACTTGAGCATGTTTAACATATACTATCCGTCTTGAGAGGAGTATTGGATGTAGTTGGAATCCACAAATTTCCCTATCGATCCACCACCACCAACAACAACAATAACATCAAGCCTTTACCTCACTACGTGGGTTTGACTACAAGAATCATTTTTCTCTATTGTCCTATTAAGAGTTAGATTCTCATTTAAATCTAATAAAGTAAGGTCATTTATAATATTTTCTAATCATGTCTTTTTAGGTCTACCTTTAACACTGCCGTTGCCAGGTCCCAAATCCTGGATGAGAAAAGTGGAGGGTTGCGTTAGGTAGTCGACAGCCAGCGTAAAACTTGTCGAACAATAATGACATGAATCCTTTAAGAAATTGTGTTAATGCTAGGGCGTCCCCTGTATGGCCTGAATACAATGACAAGTGTGCAAGGGCCGCTGCACCGGCGCCCGGGTGCAGTGTTAAATAGGCAAGGGTTCCCACATCAAGGACGGATGTGGGCAAAGAAGCTAGTCCATGAAACTAAAATTAGGATAGGAACTTGGAATATAGGTTCCCTTACAGAAAAATTTATGGAATTAATAGATATTATGATTCATAGGAAGTTAAATATTTTGTGCATTCAGGAAACTAAATGGGTTGGAGATAAGACTAAGGAAATTGATAGTTTAGGATTTAAACTGTGGTATTCGGGTAGGAGTCGTACTAGAAATGGTGTAGGTGTTATTATAAATAAGAGTTTAAAGGATAATGTTATAAAAATTAATAGGATTGGAGATAGAATTATAGCTTTAAAGATTGTTGTTGATGATAAGATTGTTAATATTATAACTGCTTATGATATTCATACCTCAAGTAGGTTTGGATATGAGTTCTAAATTAAATTTTTGGAATGACTTAGAAGAATTAATACAAAATATACCTCTTAAAGAAAGAGTTTTTATTGGAGGAGATTTAAATGGACATGTTGGTAGAGAAGTAGATGATTTTAAAAGCATTCATGGTGGCCATGGATTTGGAACGACGAATGAAGGTGGCAAGACCATATTGGATTTTTGTTTAGCTTATAATTTTTTAATTGCTAATACCTTATTTAAGAAAAGGAATGAGCATCTTATCACTTATAAAAATGGATATAGTACAACCCAGATTGACTATTTTCTTATTAGAAAATTAAATCGTTCAGATTACAAATATTGTAAAGTTATTCCAAGTGAAAATTTATATACCCAATATCGATTATTAGTTTTGGACTTTAAGATAAAGGGGCATAAAATAAAAAATAAAGTAAAACAATTTTCTAGGATTAAATGGGGGCATTTAAAGAATATTAACAAAAATATTTTTGGAAATAAGATTTTAGATCTTAAGATTTTGTCTGTGCATGAGGATGCTAATATTATGTGGGAAAAAGTGGCTAGTGATATTAAGAATATTGCAAAAGATGTCCTTGGAGTATCAAAGGGAAAAGCTCCCAATAGTAAAAATAGTTGGTGGTGGAATCCTAATGTGCAAGAAAAAATTAAAAATAAGAAGCTTTGTTATAAAAACTGGTTTAATTTTAAAAATTCTGATAATTGGGAAATATATAAAGTGGCTCGTAAGGATGCTAAGAAAGCAATATGCGATGCAAAGGCATTAGCTTTTAGTGATTTATATAATAGATTAGATACTAAAGAGGGAGAAAGATATATGTATAAGTTAGCCAAACAAAGAGATAGGAGTAGTAAGGATTTAGTTCAAGTGAAGTGTATTAAAGATGAAGATCAAAAAATACTTTTCTTAGAAGATGATATTCAACAAAGATGGATGAGATATTTTGCTAAACTTTTTAATGAAGATTGTGAAAATAAGATTGACTATAGTGACCTTAGCACCCTAGATGAAAATAAAGATTTATGTTTTTATCGGCATATTAGTAAAACTGAAATTAGAGAGGCTTTAAAGAAAATGAAGGGTGGAAAAGCTGTTGGACCTGATGATATTCCAATAGAGGTGTGGAAATGCTTAGGAGATGAAGGAATTTCATGGCTTACTAAACTTTTTAATACTATTTTGAAGACTAAAAAGATGCCAGATGAGTGGAGAATGAGTGTATTAATTCCTATTTTTAAGAATAAAGGTGATGCACAAGATTGTGCGAATTATAGAGGTATTAAGTTAATGTGTCATACTTTAAAACTATGGGAGCGAGTTATGGAGCATAGGTTGCGGCGTGATACTAATGTTTCTCAAAATCAATTTGGATTCATGCCGGGTAGGTCGACTATGGAAGCCATACATTTATTAAGAGGTTTGATGGAGAAATATAGAGAAAATAAGGAGGATCTACATATGATATTTATTGATTTAGAAAAAGCATATGATAAAGTTCCAAGAGAAGTGCTATGGAGAGTTCTTGAAAAGAAAGGAGTCAATAATGCTTATATTCAAATCATTAAAGATATGTATGCAGGAGCTATTACATGTGTTCAAACACAAGGTGGTATTGACCAAGTATTTCCCTATTTCCGGTTGGGTTACATCAAGAATCAGCGTTTAAGCCCATATCTTTTTGCTTTAGTCATGGATGTTCTCACTAGACATTTGCAAGAGGATGTACCTTGGTGTATGATTTTGCTGATGATATTCTTCTTGTTGATAAGACTAGAGAGGGAGCTGAAGGTAAACTTGAATTATGGAGGTCAACCTTAGAGTCTAAAGGTTTTCGCTTGAGTAGATCTAAAACGGAATATATGGAGTGTAATTTTAGTAGTAATAGACCTAGTGAGGGGATTATGACCTTGGCGCGATCAAGTCATTAATAAGAGTACACGTTTTAGATATCTTGGATCTATTGTTCAGAGTGATGGTGAAATAGATAGGAATATTATCAGCAGAATTCAAGTTGGATGGTTAAGGGAGGAATGCTTCGGGCTTGTTATGTGATAGAAATGTACCCCTCAAACTTAAGGGAAAATTTTATAAGATGGTAGTGAGGCCTGCAATGCTTTATGGTGCCGAATGTTGGCCATTAAAAGAGAAGCATAATACTAAGTTAAGTGTGGCAGAGATGAGGATGCTCAGGTGGATGAGTGGCTTTACCCTTAGAGATAGGATACGAAATGAGCATATACGTGAAAGGTTGGAGTAGCTCCAGTAGAAGATAAGATTAGAGAGAGTCGCCTTAGATGGTTTGGTCACATAAAACGGCGGCCTTGCGATGACCCGGTTAGGAGAGTTGAGGTATTAGATTTGACTTATGTTAAGAAAGGTAGGGGTAGACCTAAAAAGACTTGGTTAGAAAATATTAGGAATGACCTTTCTTTATTAGATTTAAACGATAATTTGACTTGTAATAGGACACAATGGAGAAAAATGATTCATGTAGCCGACCCCACGTAGTGGGATAAAGGCTTGATGTTGTTGTTGTTGTCTTTTTAGGTCTATCTCTACCTTTCTCAATATAAGCCATATCTAATACATCTACTCTTCTAACCAGGTCATCAAAAGACCATCTTTTTATGTGACCAAAGAAACTAAGGCGAGTCTCTCTAATCTTATCTTCCACTAGAGCTACTCCAATCTTTTCATGTATATGCTCAATTCGTATACAGACTCTAAGAGTAAAGTCACTCATCCGTCTGAGCATCCACATCTCTGCAACACTTAATATTATGCTTCTCTTTTAATGGCCAACATTATAAGCCCTAAAGCATTGCAGGTCTCATTACCATCTTATAGAAATTTTCCTTAAGTTTGAGGTAAACTTTTTTATAACACAATGTCATTGTTTTTTTGCTTCTTAAAACTCATAGATCCAAGGCATTATTCTTTCCATCTTTTGTAGCTTCATCTGATTCCACTAATCCAAAATATTGTTCTTTCCTTCTTTGTGTACAACTAAATGTAATTAAGAACTTAATTCAAATGTTCAAATCACATCTTATTGTTTTCCGTTTTTAGTCATTGTTGTTTTGTTTATTTGTTGTGCATGAGAAAACGTAGATCACTTTCTCCTCTTATTTAAATCTGACTTGCATTCTAGAACCATTGAAGAATCAAGTCAATAAAATCTTTCACATTTCCCGCATCCTAAGTCAAGCAAGCATAAATATATAAGTTAACCTTGGACATCATATTTAAGATATGTAGTTTACCACCAAGGCTCTTTGCAGCATCTTTGAGGCTCCCTGCAAAATATTGCTGAAGGATCTCTAAGCTAATTATTTTCTCAGTCTTGCCTCGTTTCCTTCCCGCTACTTTATTGGTAATGATTGCCGGGGCAGTAATAGATCCTTTCCCAGGAAGAGTAGTATTCTTTTCAGAATTAATACTTAGCTCCAAATGCTGTTCCGGTGAATTATGTTCTGCAATTCGCTTATTCTCATGTTCATCAAAGTCTTCAAGGGTATTGAGCTTAGGCAATGCATATTGAATTTGTTTCATTTCATTATTTGCATAAGTAATCATGTCTATCTTTCCAAGAGGCAGTCCTTCTACCTCTGCACCAGTAATCACCTTTAAACTTCGAAGACTGTGCTTCACCAACGTTGAGATGGATTCCAACAAAGCATCCTGCTTAATGGGGTCCTTGCAGTCTGATGGCAGGAAGAATTCTACAACATAAATATCATCTCCTGAGTGGGAACTCCCGAAGCATAGTGCAAAACAACTCCCTAAACCAAACATCTGTGCATAGTGAACAAGGGGATACTCCATCTTGCAGAACTTCGTGACATCCCTGCAGAAGCAGGGCCGTTTGACAGAAAATGCCCTACCTACAACCCCTTGACCCTTCTGCAAATGATGCTCAGAACAAGCAACCCTAAATCCCCACATTTGAGCCTCTACAACATAAAATGCTGCATCAGTCGTTGACATGCAAACCTGTCCCATGCAAATTCCATTAGAGGTTGAGATGCTCTTTCTAGACCCATCATGTTGTGCAAGAACAGTGCCATGCTGGCATGGGACCCAAGTCTGAGCAAGAGGTAGCTTCTGGGCCTCACAGACAATGGTTAAAATCTGTAGAAGTTCAGCAAGAGCAGCTCGGTGTTCCTTATCACATGCCTGATTTAGATTGGAGATCAAATAGACCAGCCTTGAGTGATCCAGAGTCATAAAAAAAATACAACAATTGCAAGCACAGTAGTAAAAAACAAACCTGAATACTCTGGTGCTCCAGGATTTCAGAGCTTTTCAGGTTTACCGCCTGCAGCACACTGTCAATATGTTACCACTAGAATAAGGTACCATAGTAAAACAATAATATAGCTGGCTACTTGTTAGTCGATCCCTAAGCAACTGGAGATAATTATCTTCTTTGCAACAAATCAGAATCTAAAGGAAGAAAAAAAAAAAAACATTAAAAAATTTTATAATAGTGTTTATTTAGGTTACACAATTGCTTAAAATAAGGCCAGAAAAAACCCCCAAACTTCAATAATGCTAACCAGTCAAAATTTTTTTAATATGGAAAATACACAACTCCAAAAACTAATAAATAAACTGGTTGTACACCAAATAAAGCCTAAGCCGGGTTCATGAGCCTCGCTATTGCTCATATTAAACAGAATTATAAGCAAATTGTCAGATGAAGAGAGTAAGTTCATGATCAAATTAAAGTCGCCAAAGGTGATGCAGGACTAATTAAAATGATATGTTTGTGACTTCATTTTAGACTTTGCACAACTTGTTAATTAGAATAAGTTCCGAATAAAATTACTAGCAAATATCCACGGCGAATAAAACAATTAAGGAGTTAATCTTGCCTAGGTTAAATCACATGCGCCAAATGTTGAACGTTCAAGATAATCAAGAAAATAAAGGCAATGCAAAATAGTAGGCTTCAAGTTAATCCCTACTCTAACAATGAGACGTAGGATGCATAGAAGATTACACTCAATTCCTACAAATGACTAGGCTTGGCAAGAGCGATTGAAAGAGCTTTTGTGATTACAATCAACCAATTGAGAATTTGGATTTAGAAGAAATTGAATGCAAGTAAAGAAAGGAGAAAACCTTTGTTTAAGGAGACGTAGAGATCCTCCACTCAAGACATTCGAAATGCTCTTCAATGGTGCTGTAGTGAAATTGGTCCAGCGGAAACTGCTGGACAGCAGCTTGACTTGGTAAAGCAGTAGCTTGGAGGCTTCAAGTTGCTGGAAGAACAATGTTAGCTGCTGGAATTCTCTGGCTGAAACCTGAGAAGGCAAGGTACTCAACGTCCCATGGAGTTGACTCTAACTGACATGACACAATTGCCCTTAGGCTTACACATGACCACTCCCATACAAAAGGGTACAAAGGGAAAATAAATAAACACACATAAGCAAATAATAAAATGCATGAAAATAAAATACATCGACTCAAAAATATAACGAATCGATCGTGGCTATAGATCAGCGTCCACGTCGCTGGTAAACTTTCCATGATGATCTGATGTCCCCATCAAAAGGAGTAGATGTCAAGTACAAGACGCCAAGGCAAATCAGTATCCATCATATCTACTCTATAGTCAGCCAACGCTTGGTTGGCCCTGAATTCACTTTAATTCTTAAAAGCCATTCGCCAAACTCACAAAATGAGCTTTTTGCTCAAGTTTCAAAGGTGCGTGCCAGCTCAAAGAGAAGTTTCCAATGACGTCAAGTAAACTCATCCTTAACTTGACAATTGTCATAAAGTTTCTATGTATTTTGATAGCTATAAGCTACCTAGACTAATTTCTCATGAATTCTTTATGTATTTTGATACATAGTAGCTAGAGACATTTATTTTAAAGAAAGTATTTGTTAAGCCTGCTATATAATTTTACTTATATAACTTATGTATAGTTTTTCCTACATCATTATGCCTCAATTCAAACCAACAAATACTGAGTTATAGAGTAATTCTTGCACATTCAATTAATCACATCAGTTTTGTACTTCCCAGCAATTTAGTGAAATTTTAATGCCTTCCTCTCTATGTTCAATATGTCTCTCTTTTCTCTTGTTCTACATCTATTCATGTTAGTACCAATTTTGTATCACATATGAAAAAGCTTGGATCCAACATCTTCTAAATCGTAATGAGCATGAATCGATGCAATGAACCAGAAAACAGGCAATGAAGTAACTAAACAATAGGATAGTTCAGCCCCAATGGAGGGCTAAGATTTACTAAATTGAATTATTTAAGAAATTTTGAGTATGTTTTAAGAGCAAATGCATGTGTGAAAATTTTTCATAGATCTTTAAATTGTAACATTCACTGATAGTCACCAAGTTTGAAAACATTGACTTCTGTTGTGAATCTGGATCCAAGTACTATGATTTTGATGATAACAAATATTATTGTTTCTTTACCACTACTACTATTGCATATCTATTCTGTTTGCCCTGCTTACTAACCTTTCAGGTTCACAAAGATCACTTGCAATGCAAATCAACTAAAGATCGGGTAGATCAGGGTTGAGTCTATTTGTAATTTCAACATCAATGTACTTTTACTTTTTTTAAGTCAAGTCATGCATCTGGTGGACACCAAGCTAAGTAACATTGCACACACACACTCAGGGGGAGAAATTTGGTGAGTTAAAGAATTTTTTTATTTTTGATCTAATCGTATAGGACAATTTTAAATCGTACTGGACGATCAGTTAAAAATAGAAACCCTGATTAGGGCATCCATGCTTATTACAAGTGATTAAACTAATCGCACTGGACGATCCATATGTCCAGGATGATCAACATAGATGATGAAAAATAGCCATCAATCACAATTTAGATAATATTTTAATTTTCAAATTTTGTCCTAATCATACAGGACGATATACATCGTCCTGTGCGATTTATGATAATCATGCCTAAATTGATCCGACGATTAGGGGAATAATTATGGTTAGAATGATCAATCATACAGTACAGGACGATCCACTAAGATCATACTGAACGATCTAGTATATTTCGTAGGACGATCCCCTATTGTCTAAGACAAAAAATCATAATTTTCTTCTAATCGTCAAGGAGAATTGTACTGGACGTCTGAGAGGGTTGCGGGACGATATGAAGATCGCCACCCATCGTCCCATATTGTACTGGACGATCAATATAGTATCTTGAACTAATTGTTCAGGACGATCGCAGGATCGTACTGGACGATCTGTACAAATACTTGTATTGATCGTACAGAGAGAAGATGATCTTCCTGGTTGAAAGGGCTATTTTATACTAATCGTACAAGATGATCTGTCGATCTTACTGGACGATCAGTTGCGCATAATTGAAAATTAGGGCTTCTTTTGGAGGCTCTCAATTTAAGCAATTGTATTAACCTTTGAGTTAATCTTTTGATGTGGAGTTGATCAAAGAGAAAGCTTAGAGAAAGAAGAGGGAGAGCTTGAGAGAAAGAGATCCTTGTGAGGGGGAGTTGTGAGGGAATCACAAAGGTTGCTCCAAGCAAGGTGTTCGTCGTCTTCTTTAAGTTGCTCCTCTGGTTCCTTGGTGGCTCTGGGAAATTATTAAACGCATCCTTCAAAAGCATTCAAAGTTCCTCACTAGGATTCATACACGAGGAAAATAAATTCTGCTCATATTGCTTACTTCAAGTTGGTGAATTCACAATTAAAAATAAACGATTCTTTAAAATGCTGACTATTGTTTACCACATTAGATGAGTCACCACTGAGGTGGTTTGACAACTCGCTCTTAGAAGAAAATTTTTCTTTGTTGAATTAAAAATTTATTTGTTACTAAATTTGCTGAGGCTTTGGGTGTATGCTTTTTGCATGTATCTTTTAGCTTTACTCATGCATGTTCTTACTAGACATTTGCAAGAAGATGTACCTTGGTGTATGCTTTTTGGTAATGATATAAATTAGAAAGGGAGTTGATGAAAATCTTGAATTGTGGAGGTTAACCTAAGAGTCTAAAGATTTTCATTTGAGTAGATCTAAAATCGAATATATGGAGTGCAATTTTAGTAGTAATAGATCTAGTGGTGGATTGTGACATTAGGTGATCAAGTCATTAAAAACAATGCACGTATCAGATATCTCGAGTCTATTATTCAAAACGATGGTGAAATAGATGGGGATATTTTTAGCAGAATTCGAGTAGGAAGGTTGAAGTTGAGGAATGCATCGGGCTTATTGTGTGATAGAAAAATACCTAACTTAAGAAAAAAATTTATAAGATAATGGTGAGATCTGCAATGTTTTATGCTGCATAATGTTAGTCATTAAAAGAGAAAGATAAAATTAAGCTAAGTGCTACAGAGATGAGGATGCTTAAGTGGATGACTTAAAATGTGAAATGATTATATACGTAAAAAAGGTTGGAATAGCTCCAATGGCAGATAAGATTAGACATAGTTGCTTTAGATGGTTTTGTCACATAAAATGTCATACTTCTGATAAGCCTATTATGATAGTAGATGTGCTTGATTATGCCTTTAAGAAAGATAGAGGTAGACCTAAAAAAAGTTGGTTAAAATGTATTAAAACTGACCTTTATATTAGATTTAAATGAGAATTTAACTTTGAATAGGAAACAATGGAGACTAAAGATTCATGTAGCCCACATAGTGGGATAAAGGCTTGTTATTGTTGTTGTTAACATAATAAACTTGTTAGCACTCAAAAGCCTATGAAATTTGCAACACAATTTAAAGTGAGGTAGAAGCAAGACAAATCTTCAAGTTCTTTTAGCAAAAGAGATGTTAGAAGTAAAAAATTTGGAGCCTACTATAGCATAAGCTGCATCAACTCAGAATTTATTTGAACCATTTTGATGTGCACTCAATCTATAGAATTCAAGGATAATGGCCAAGTTTCTTGCACTAGCCTATAGTTGTATTAATACTGGTGAATATTATGGGCTCTGAAAATTCACGCATTGGCTCTATTGAGAAAGTTTAAGTATACAAGCTGAAATTTTTAAAAGGTAAATTAGATTGAAGATAAGATATTATCTAGAAATTATGAGGATATTAAGATTTGGTATTAGGTTTCTCATTGGCAAAAGCACCTGTCATTAATTATTCCTTTCAGTGACAAGAATGAACTTTCAATTTTTAGTGTGTTTATACAGTGCACTTGCATGTTTCTCGAAATGAATCAAATTTAAATTCATTTTTATTTTACCTAATGTAGCATTCTCAAATTTTTGAATTTAGGAATTTGATGCATTTGTCAAACCATATGTGAATGAGTATAAAATTGAAAATTTAGTT